GTGTATTACCGTAGTGCTGAAGGGTAAATCTACATGGTAAGCAGCCGCCCACGGCAATGAGTCTCAGAGCCCAGATCTACAGATTCAGGCTCATGGGGCTCATACTACGGTAAGAAGTTCAGACTCCTCAGGTTCTGAAGGCCAGGAATGGGGGCTGGGTTTCAGAAACACAAAGATGCACAGCATTTTTAGCGCTGTAGCGTGAGCCCAATCTGTAGACCCAGACTCAGACTTCTTGTTGTGAGCATCTGATGCTTATCATATAGACATACTCTAAGAGCCCTAGTCATGGACTCTGATGCTTCTTAACATTCAATACATTAGAATGTCCCTTTTTTAGTTTATGCATTTATTTTTACTGATTGCTAGGAGTCCCATTGCAGATGATTAAATTTGCAAGTTGGGAAATAAGCAAAAAACAGACACAAAATAAACCCCACAACAACTCGTCAAAAGGAAAATTACTTAACAGTGATTGGTGTTTCTTATAGCATTGCTCCTCTTTTACTGTACAAAAAAATCCTCACTGTAAATATTGGGTCAGATTGTTTATTTCAATGGTGTTACACCAATAAAGAATCTGGCCCTATGGTCCAGACAGCAAGGCAGTAAGGAACTGCCAATCAAGTCAAAGCATAAATCACACCTGCCCACTTGTATCTGAATTAAGGAACTTTCTAGAGTTGAAAAAAAAAGGAAGTTACTCAGTACCTGAGGTTGTAGAGGTGAGTGGGTGGGGGCATGAGAAAGAGGAAGAAGAAAACAAATGTGTTATGTTAACTTGCTGCTTTGACTTCTAAAAACTGACAGCCCAGGAATAGAAATAGGGCATTCATTGATGCTAATGAAGAAATAAATTGCTCCACCATCAGGTCTTATACATTTGATAGAATAACTTTCTTCTTTAAAAGAATCTAAGTGGACAGTTCCACCCTCTCTCTGGCACAACGGGACTTCCTACCATCAAGGTAAAGCTTGCAGCAGACAGGGCTTGCAGCTTGGGGGCCAGTCCAAGACTATGGAACAATGTCCAGAGGAACTAGAACCCATTATAAACCTCACCACCTTCTTCTCCAAGTTCAAGGTACACTTCAACTTTGCCATCTCCATTTACCAAAAAAATATTCCCCAAACGAAACCACTTAATTGCACATATAATCCTCTTCCTAGGAGAGCATGAGAGAAAGAATGAACCACATGTGACAGATACTAATCACACTGCTTAATGCACTACTGAACAGCACTAAGATGCGAAAGTGATGAGGGAAATAAAAGAACCTATACAGAATAAAGTAGAAGTAATTCTTTAGATATAAAATGATCCTTATAAAGATTACTAAGAACACAGAGGCTAGATCCTCCTATAAAATGAGGTACAGGAATCACTGAGAAATTATTTTACCTAGTTGAAATTATATATGGCTGTATGTTAGGTTTTAAAAAGAAACCTTAATTCAGGTACAAGTGGTCTGGAAGGGTTTATGCTTTGACTTCATTGGCAGTTCCTTACTGCCTTGCTATCTGGGCCACAGGGCCAAATTCTTTTTTGGTGTAACTCAATTGAAATAAACAATCTGACTCAATATTTATTGCGAGAATTTTTTTTGTTTGTAGAGTAAAAGAAAAGAAACACTATAAGAAGAAAAAAGATCCAACTCACCAAACAACCATTGGATTATACAATTGTCTAATATTTTTAATTAGCTTTTTGTGGATTTGGGATAAAGATAGTAAAGAAAGTCTATGGGCATTTTTTGTGAAAGTGCAAGGAGCATATGAGAAATATTTTGCAAGTTTTTTCTGTTTGTGTAATGTTTAGAAATTGAGCAAACATCTTATGTTGAGCTCTATTTGGGATCTCAGACAACTCAGTCAATATTAAGTCCAGCCTAGTTTATAAACACACCGGTCCTCATTTTCTAAACCTAGTGTTCCTGTTTGTGCCCATATATGGCAATTTGGCACCTACAACTGCTGTCACTTTGGATTTCTAAGTATCTCATTTGAGATCCAATGTACAAGTTACTTTAATTGCCCCTGTAAATAACTGGGTCCAAGATTGCATGCACATTTTTTATGCACCAGTGGGCACAAAAAAGGACGACGACTTTGGTCATCGGTCAAAATGTATTTGATCCCTGCAGTATGGTCTGCAATAATTTGTACAAATGCTGTCAAAATACATAGGAGACAAGTACAGAGATGCTCTATTTTACCTGCTGAAGTTCTTGTTCTCTTTGTGCATGTCTGATCTCCATATACTTGATTTTCCTTTCTAGACACAAGAAGTGTTTCATCTCAGGACTTTGCCTCTCTTTAGCCTCTCTCAGTTCTTCGAACAGTTTTGCCATCTAAAATTTGAGGTATTTGTTATTTGTAATGAAGTAGTGTCAACTTTACTAAGTGTTGTATAAACAAACAAAGGATTTCCCATCAAAATGCATTTACGTTTCCTTTCACAGTATTTTAAATGTTAGCTCACTGTTATAATCCAAGCTTATTTTAGAGCCCAAAGGTTCTTGCCTCTTATTACTTTCCTCTATGTTGCAGAAGCCTAATCTCTAATAGAATCATAAAACCATAGAAGATTAGGGTTGGAAGAGACCTCGGGGATCATCTAGTCCAACCCCCTACTCAAAGCAGGACCAACCCCAAATAAATCATCCCAGCCAGGGCTTTGTCAAGCCAGGCCTTAAAAACCTCTAAGGATGGAAATTCCACCACCTCCCTAGGTAATCCATTCCAGTACTTCACCACCCTCCTAGTGAAATACTTTTTCCTAATATCCAACCTAGACCTCCCACACTGCAACTTGAGACCATATTGCTTCTTGTTCTGTCATCTGCCACCACTGAGAACAGCTGAGCTCCATCCTCTTTGGAACCCCCCTTCAGGTAGTTGAAGGCTGGTATCAAATCCCCCCCTCAGTCTTCTCTTCTGCAGCCTAAATAAGCCCAGTTCCCTCAGCCTCCCTTCATAAGTCATGTGCCCAGCCCCCTAATCATTTTTATTGCCCTCCGCTGGACTCTCTCCAATTTGTCCACATCCTTTCTGTAGTGGGGGTCCCAAAACTGGACTTAATACTCCAGATGTGGCCTTACCAGAGCCAAATAGAAGGGAATAATCCCTTCCCTCGATCTGCTGTCGATGCTCCTACTAATGAAGCCCAACATGCCTTAGCCTTCTTGGCAACAAGGGCACACTGTTGACTCATATCCAGCTTCTCATCCATTGTAATCCCCAGATCCTTTTCTGCAGAACTGCTGCTTAGCCAGTCGGTCCCCAGCCTATAGCAGTGAATGGGATTCTTCTGTCCTAAGTGCAGGACGCTGCATTTGTCCTTGTTGAACCTCAGATTTGTCTAGGTCACTCTGGACCCTATCCCTACCCTCCAGCGTATCTACCTCTCTCCCTAGCTTAGTGTCATCCGTGAACTTGCTGAGGGTGCAATCCATCCCATCATCCAGATAATTAAGATGTTGAGCAAAACCGGCCCAAGGACCGAACCCTGGGGCACTCTGCTTGATACCGGCTGCCAACTAGACATCAAGTGGTTGATTACTACCCGTGGAGCCTGACGATCTAGCCAGCTTTCTATCCACCTTATAGTCCATTCATCCAATCCGTACTTTTTTAACTTGCTGGCAAGAATACTGTGGGAGACCGTATGAAAAGCTTTGCTAAAGTCAAGGTATATCACGTCCACTGCTTTCCCCACATCCACAGAGCTAGTTATCTCATCATAAAAGACAATCAGGCTGGTCAGGCATGGTGCCCTTGGTGAATCCATGTTGACTGATCTTGATCACCTTCTTCTCCAAGTGCTTCAAAATGGATTCCTTGAGGACCTGCTCCATGATTTTTCAGGGGACTGAGGTGAGTCTGTAGTCCCCCAGACTCCTTTTTTTAAAGATGGGCATTATATTTGCTTTTTTCCAATTGTCTGGGACCTCCCGATTGCCACGAGTTTTCAAAGATAATGACCTATGGTTCTGCAATAACATCAAGCAATTCCCTCAGCACCCTCGGATGCATTTCATCCGGCCCCATGGACTTGTGCATGTCCAGGTTTTCTGAATAGCCCTTAACCTGTTCTTTCACCACTGAGGGCTGCTCACCTCCTCCCCATACTGTGCTGCCCAGTGCAGCAGTCTGGGAGCTGACCTTGTCTGTGAAGACTGAGGCAAAAAAAGCATTGAGTACTTCAGCTTTTTCCACATCATCTATCACTAGGTTGCCTCCCCCATTCAGTAAAGGTCTCACACTTTCCCTGACCACCTTCTTGTTGATAACATACCTGTAGAAACCCTTCTTGTTACCCTTCACATCCCTTGCTAGCTGCAACTCCAGTTGTGCTTTGGCCTTCCTGATTACACCCCTGCATGCTTGAGCAATATTTTTATACTCCTCCCTAATCATCTGTTCAAGTTTCCACTTCTTGTAAGTTTCCTTTTTGTGTTTAAGCTCACTGAAGATTTCTCTGTTAAGCCAAGCTGGTTGCCTGCCATATTTGCTATTCTTTCTGCACATCAGCATGGTTTGTTCCTGCGCCCTCAATAAGGCTTCTTTAAAATACAGCCAACTCTCCTGGACTGCTTTCCCCACACATATTAGCCACCCAGGGGATACTGCCCATCAGTTCCCTGAGGGAGTTAAAGTCTGCTTTTCTGAAGTCCAGTGGAGGATGGCTAGCAGTCGTTTTCCTTCAGAACTCTCAATGCAAATTCATACATTTGCCAAGAAAAGGGCTGGAAGGTACCACTTACTCTCCAGCTCATGCAGCTCCTGCTGACAAAGAACCTCAGAGGGCCTGATCCTACAAACCTTTACCTATACAATGGGACAACTACTCATGAGTAACAGTTTGCAGAGCTGGGACCACGTTGGACCCTTTCAGTCAAGGACTTTCTGAACCTGCCACCTGAATTCAGTATGTTTTGCTACCACTTACATGTAGACCACCACACTAGAAATTATGGCAAACAAAAGTAAATGCATGTATAGGAAAACATTTTTAACCTGAATGCTTAAATCTCTGTTTAGGCTCTTAAATATAAGTGACCTGATTTTCCAAGATGCTTAGAGGAAGCTGCAGGCACACAGCACCTCGGAAATCAACACAGGGATTTGGATGCGTAGCTTTAGGACCTCACATTTGTAAGTGTTGGCTTATATTTTTAATTTAAATCACACAATCAGAGAAATTAGAGATTAAAATGATCTACTCGTCCATTTCTCCAAGCCAATGTATAATTATTCCTAATATATTTTAACCAGTCCAAATTTTCTCAGTCCAAATTATTTATTTTTTACTCAAAGCACATTGAGATATTAATTAATCCACAAATACAGTAACTTCTCACTTAACGCTGTCCCGGTTAACGTTTTTTCGTTGCTGATCAATTAGGGAACATGCTTGTTTAAAGTTGTGCAATGCTCTCTTCTAAGGTTGTTTGGTAGCTGCCTGCTTTGTCCACTGCTTGCAGGATTCTCTGGAAGAGCAACCCCTCCTCCTGGGGATTAGAACTGGGGGGGAGAGGGGAGCGGAAGCCCCCCCCCCCATCAGCTCCCCTAAATTCCCTGTAAGGTATGTGGCTCCGCAGCTGCCCAGCAGCAGTTCAGGTGGCCCTCCCCCTACTGCCATGCTGCTCCTGCCAGGCCCTCTGCCTCGGAGCTGCTCCTGGGGGGGAAGAGGGGAGAAGAGGGGGAGGGGAAGAGGGGTGCTGATGTCAGGATGTCCCCCTGCTCCTGCCCTCTGCCCGCACCATAGCCCCTCTCCATAAAGTGCAGGACAGGACAGTCACAGGGCTCCGGGACAGAACAGGGGAGTTTGCAGGAAGCTGTTGCTTCCTGTCTGATCTGCTTAAAAGGGCAACGTACTTGAAGGGGGGTCAGCATAGGTAAAGGGGCAATGCATCTCTCTCTCTTTCTCTCTCATAAATGCAACCCCCAGCACTTTGGAAAGTCAGCACCTGTACATCGCTGTCAGGAGGAGGGAGTGGTGCGCTCTAGCTGGATAGCGTGGGTTCATCATCATGTTCAGCTTTTGCAGGGAAGTGTTTGCAGCTACTGCCCTGCATCTATTGTGTTTCCTCCCTCCTGCCTCAGTCCATGCTGCCTTGTAGAGTGTGAGGCTACATTAACAGCAGCAAAAACAACAAGGAGCCCTTGTGGCAACTTAGAGACAAACAAATTTATTTGGGCATAAGCTTTCATGGGCTAGAACCCACTTCATCAGATGCAACAACAGCGGATTAATCCTTGAGGGCTCAGTCAAGTGCTAGTTCATCATTTAGCAGCAAGGCATTCCCTGGGAAATATTCCACCCTCTTACTCCACCACCTCAACCAAGCTTCACAATCACTCATTGCTGTGTATAATATTAAACTGTTTGTTTAAAATGGTTTAAAACTTATACTGTATATAATGTCTTTTGTTTGATGAAAAAAATTTCACTGGAACCTAACCCCCGCCTATTTACATTAATTCTTATGGGGAAACTGGATTTGCTTAACATTGGTTTGCATAAAGTCGCATTTTTCAGGAACATAACTACAGCGTTAAGCGAGGAGTTTCTGTAAAGGAAACAAATGTATAATTGTAAACTAAAGCCCTTCTCTCCTTTTACATAATAAAATAATGTACTAAGAAATAACTTTTCACAACAGTTTTCAGATACAGACTACATATTACTTTTAAAAAAAAGACAATTTGCACAGAGACAAACAATGTTAGAAAAGGTAGTGCTGGAATATATAACACAGGGCTAACATCTCCTCTTATCTAATGTTACAACTTTAAACTAATAATCTGAAAATTACCTCATCAATGAATTAAAACTTCGTTTTGGAGGGAAATGAATGGTTGAGGGATTTTCTCAAGAGGCTACTGACTGACCCTCTGAGCCACATAGGACAATCTTCAGAAATTCGATAAGTGGGGGCGGGTACCTGCTGGAGCTCGGGGCTTCAGCCCTGCGGCCGGGTTTGGGGTTAGCGGTTTCTGCCCTGCGGGGAAGGGGGTCTCGGGACTTCAGCCCCGCAGGGTGTACATGCCGGGGCTCTGGGCTTCAGCCTTGCGGGAGATGCCTGCTGGAGCTCGGGGCTTCCAGCTAAAGCCCCGAGCCCTGGCAAGTGCACTCCATGGGACTGAAGCCCAGGGGCCCCCCTACCCGTTGGCCAGAAGCCCCTAGCCCCACTACCCTGCCACAGGGCACAAGCCCTGAGCTCTTCCCCCTCAACCAGTCTGGTAGGCGGAGAATGGGGGGAGGTGTGAGGGACTCCGCGAGCTGCACTTTAACTGTAAAAGAGCCGCATGCAGCTCACGAGCCACGGTTTGGCTAAGCCTGCTATATAGGTTACTTTCTGTTCCTTGTGTTTTTAAGTGGTACTGCAGTTTGATGCATCTTTGTTCCTCCAGCCGCTATCTATACATTGGTTAGTCTCTAAGGTGCCACAAGTACTCCTTTTCTTTTTGCGAATACAGACTAACACGGCTGTTACTCTGAAACCTGTCATTATGCAAGGCACTGCATTTAGCCATATGGAGTGGAAATCTGTCAATTGCATGAAAAAACTTGTACAGATACAGCACCCATTTTTTCATGCTTTGTGTGTATAAAAAGATCTTCTATACTTTCCACAGTATGTATGTACACTTGTGCATTTCAAAAAGGTTCCATCAGAACTTTCTGGAGTCCTTAATTTCTCAATGTTGCTTTCCTGAAATCTAATACCCAGTATTGCTGTATTCTGCGAGTCCCCACTCATCCCCATTCTTTACTATTCTGAATTCAAAATAGCTGGAGGTGACCAGTTACAAATAACAGTATGACAAGTTTCAGAGTAACAGCCGTGTTAGTCTGTATTCGCAAAAAGAAAAGGAGTACTTGTGGCACCCTAGAGACTAACCAATTTATTTGAGCATAAGCTTTCGTGAGCTACAGCTCACTTCATCGGATGCATACCGTGGAAAGTGTAGAAGATCTTTTATACATACACACAAAGCATGAAAAAATACCTCCCCCCACCCCACTCTCCTGCTGGCAATAGCTTATCTAAAGTGATCACTCTCCTTACAATGTGTATGATAATCAAGTTGGGCCATTTCCAGCACAAACCTGGATTTGTGCTGGAAATGGCCCAACTTGATCATCATACACATTGTAAGGAGAGTGATCACTTTAGATAAGCTATTACCAGCAGGAGAGTGGGGTGGGAAGAGGTATTTTTTCGTGCTTTGTGTGTATGTATAAAAGATCTTCTACACTTTCCACGGTATGCATCCGATGAAGTGAGCTGTAGCTCACGAAAGCTTATGCTCAAATAAATTGGTTCGTCTCTAAGGTGCCACAAGTACTCCTTTTCTTTTTACAAAAATCGGTATGTTCACATCCTCATGCAGTACCATGTAGAAGCAGATCCAAATAGAGGGCATCTTTTGGTTAAAGTCTCAAATTTTTAAGTCAAAGTTGTCTTCTAGTGAAGCTAGGAATCTGTTATCTAACAGATTGGTGTCGTTAATGCGGCATGGCTGTGCACAGCAATTCAGAGGCAGATTAGCATTCAAAATACCTGAATTACTTGTGGCTCTCCCAAAATGTCCATATCTTCATTTAAGGCACTGATAGTTTAAATAGATGAAGCTCAACCCCATCCCATTTAAGACTGCTAATAGTGATTCCCCTGTAATGACAAATCATATTTGCAGCCTCCATTTGTTTTATTTTCCAGTTTAACTAAATTTGGATTCTAGGCACGAAATGGTTAAAAGTTATTTTACAGTAACATTAATAGTTATTACATAAACTGAACAAAAAAAGGCAAGTGAAGTTTTACCTTGAAAAGTCACAGTCTCAACGATTTCTAATGCAAATTACTCACTTTACAAATACAATTATGTTTTTTCTAACTGTCAGCCCTTCAAACTCAACCTGGAATCTGTAGTTCAAGTAGTAGTCTTTCTTTCTTACATATCATCACCAGTAATAAAAGGACACACTAGAAACAGATCTTTTGAGTAAGAAGGTGCTATTTTTTACATAGGCATTTTTCGGAGTAGAGCTGAACTTTAAGATTCATAGAAGATGAAGATTAAGCATCACTAGAAGGACATTTTAAAGTTGTGATAAAGCACAAGAACTCCTCTTGCTTGAGCACATACCGTTATAGAAGATGTGAAAGAAACAGCAGCAAGGGCTATGGGTAAGATTACTAAAATTTCAAACATTTAAAACCTTACAATGGAAAAAATTGAAGTATTGCTAAAATAAAATCTATGGTATTCCTACCTTAACACTTCAAGTTCAGTGCATTAAATTTGCCAAATATGCCTACCACATAAGCTAATATAATCAAGAAGTCCATATTATACACATAATCTGCAAGGTCGGTTTTCCAGAGGAGGAAAATTCTGATTTCGTCTTGCAATTTAAAGGCACACTGTAAAACTTTCATACATGACAACCCCCAGTCTTCACTGTGAAACAAAAGCTGAGAGTAGTCAGAGCCCATCATTTCACACATTGTACTAAGACCATGTGTGTTCACTACCCGGAATTTTATAAAATTTACAATTTTAAAAACAATATTGAGGGCCATGTGTACTTTAGGTTGCAACTTCTTCAATACCAAAGTATAGTGATGAATCATACAGCTTGTCCAAATGCCTGCTGGGTCTCTCGACGGCTCCAGGGCACTACGCACCGAGGAAGCTGGAGCCGACGTCGGGCGCTCCGGGCCTGGTGGCTGCAATGCGGCCTCCATCAACAACTGCTGCAAACAAAAGTCTTTTTCTTTCTTTGTTCTTGGCTTGAACGCCTTGCAAATCTTACACCGCTCAGTTTGATGCTCTTCCCCCAGGCAACGTAGACACGAGTCATGGGGGTCACTAACTGGCATAGGCTTGCGGCAAGTGGCACAAGCCTTAAACCCGTGGGCCTGCGCTGAAAGCCTCCAAGCACCTAATCACTTAAGTGTCCACAACAAAGGTCTGCTAACTAACTGATAATAGCTATCCAACTCTGAGAAAGGCTAAGGGACTACTCTCATAGGAGAGAGAGGGGTTGTTCCAACGCTGCCACGGACAGTAAGAAGGAACTGGAGCACTCAGGGGGCCCCCCGCCGGCCCGACAGGAGCCGCTAAGGGGAAAAAAGTTTCCAACGCTCATGCACACAGTGTGCGCACACCTAATGTGGAATGGACGTGAACAAGCACTCGAAGAAGAACAGTTGCTTCTTTAGACATGACTTTTTGTTTGCCACTTTAATTCTGTTGGTTTCTGAAGGAAAACAAGGTGCAGCTCTCATTTACAAATTCCAGGTGTTTGGGTAATAAATGTCTTTGTAGTTTCCCTGGCCTCACACTTTCATTCATTAATGTATGCAAAGAAACACCACATTGTGACTGTGGACTTTCCACAGTAATACTGAGACACAAAAACCAAAACATCATGTAATTATTGTATTGTCTATTTTTCATCCATTTCTGTTTAACTTTATTAAAACCATGATCTTCAGCCAAACATTTGCTACATGTAGGCTTAGAACTTGGTAAAAATCATTCCCTGAGGAAGATAAGATGCCCCTGTCTATCCCTCAGCCCCTTTCCCCCCCTCCATATGTGCTGATGAAGTTGCTGACAGCAGTGGAAGCCTGTCTTTGCCTTCTGCTCCAGCAGGGCCTTTATAGCTGAGAGACTTCCTGATGAACACTTTCCCCAGCAGGAATGGAGGGCAAAGAGGCTCACAGTCTGGCAGCAGCAGCTGCATAAGACACAGGCCTATAGATAAGATGCAGGTGATTTTTAAGCCTAGTTTAATCATCTCTTAATTAGAAAAACAAAAGCAGGCATATCAATTAAAATCTTTTTCCAAACATTTGTGTCTCCCCTATGAATTCTTTGTGGTTCCCCAAAGAAGCCATGGCTCACACTTTGGGAAGCACTGCACTAGGTGACCTAATAGAGTTTTCTGTAAAATCTCTGAGATAGTCAAATTTTAATCTCTATTAAAAACAACAAATTATAGTATCTTTACATGGGAAGGAGTCTATTAAAAACGTATATTACCTGACAGTCCAGTCAATTTCTTTTCCCACTTAGTTAAAAAACAACAAACCACCAGCCTCTTAAAAAATTAATTGCATCTGAATTATCACAATGGAGCAGTTTTCACACACATCAGTCACTTCTAATCATGATTTCACAGAATCAAATACTAGAGATCAAAGCGAAATGGACAAGCATTATGTAAGTTAAATTTTCTGTTGCATGTTCTGCTTCTTTGCTCACATAAATACCTATCCTATCCCAACCAATTAAAATTCACAAAGATAAAGAGCAATTATTAAACTTAATGCTAACCACCTTAATTTACCAAGACCTAAAATGGACATGGAATCAGTCATCTGTTCGCTGTGCAACAAAATATGGACGGAGGAGAAAGTGTCAGAAGAATGGACCCTCGTATCATAATCAAGTTACCAAAGAAAAGAAACCTAAACAATTGTTCAAACTGGAGGGGAGTAACACTTCTATCTGTCACAGGAAAAGTATTAGCAGCAGTACTCCTGAACAGAATGAAAGGAAAGATGGATACCATCGTACATGAACAACAATCTGGATCTAGACAAGGGAGATCGTGCACAGACGCTATTTTCACCGAGATGGATTACTGAGAACACAACTGAATTCCAAGGCAGTCTTGCCATCAATTCTGTGGACTTTCAAAAGGCATTCGATAGAGTAAACAGAGAAACAATGCGGAAAATTGTGGAACAATATGGAATTCCAACAAAATTAACTAACATTATGCAGGCATTCTATGCCAACTCAAAATGCTGCATTAAAATGGAAAATGGATTGAGTAAGCTATTCAGCATCAAGACAGGTGTAAGGCAGGGGTATGTCCTGTCTCCTTTTTTGTTTATGCTAGTCATTGACTACGTGTTAAAACAATGCGACAGTAGTACATATGGCCTAAAATGGAACAATTCAAGGCTATCTGATCTAGACTTTGCTGACGACATCGCTCTTATCAATGAAGATGCCAATGGACTACAAAAATGCACAAACCAAGTAAATGAAGTAATGGAGAAGATGGGTTTGAAATACAATGCAAAGAAATGTAAAGTCATGTTAATGGGGACTATAGGGACAGAAATCAAAATTGAAGAAGAGAAACTAGAGAAAGTGGACAATGTTACGTATCTTGGAAATACCATCAGCCAAGATGGTACTAGTTCCAAGGGAAGAAGAAGAAGAATTGGGAAGGCAAACGCTGCATTTGGAAGACTCAAAAACATCTGGCAACTCAAAAACATCTCCCTCAAGACAAAACTGAACGTGTACAAAGCAATTGTTATTGCCATCACAACATACAGCAGTGAGACATGGCAACTTACCAAGAAAGATACGCAAAAGCTGGATACATTTCATCACAAACGTCTGAGAAGAATATTGGGAATAATATATAGAGATAGGAAGACAAATGAAGAAGTCAGAAAAATTACTGAACAAGGCACCCTCTCACAAATAATCTACAAAAGACGACAGTAGTTGGGACGTGTGCTGAGAATGGAAAAAGAACGCTTACCAAATACCGCCCTTGAATGAAAACCAGAAAACGCAAGAAGAAAGAAAGGAAGGCCGCAAATAACATAGAAATGAACAGTTCTGAATGACACCAAGCACCTCAACATAAAATGGGAAGATTTGGAGAGAAGGGCAGTTGACAGGCAAGGATGGCAAATGTGGGTAGTCCAATGTGCAGCAAAACACGGGATGGACTAAGGTAAGGTAAGGTAAAGTGGACACAAGCTTGGATTTTTGCAGGCTGCTTTCATTTTATATTATTGGAAATAATAATATAAAAATCTTTTAGAAATAAAACAAAAGATTTCTTGTTTTATAATCAGATAGCTCAAAACTGAAAAAAAAATCACAACAAACCTCTCATTTACCTCTTTTTGCAAGATTTCCTCTCGCGTTTGTGAAACTGCAAGGGCCTCTTGATCTCTGTGCAGCTCATTAACTTGTTCTTGTAGATGTCTTATTAAGATCTAAGGAAATATTTTAAATATTCCTCATTAACACTGACAGATTTTAAAACCTTCAAAGTAATACATAAAATCAATTCTTGAATCTTAGAATTAAAATATATGAAAGCATTTCTTGAATCTTAATATTAATAGTAATTGTATTGTACAAAACCCAATAGTTATGCAGTTAATTGGTTGTGTACTGGATTTGAATTTAAAATATTTCCATCATATCATATCTTTATGCCCTGTATATTCTCTACATTTTTATTAAGTAATATACATATATTTGTTGAGAATGTCATATTTTTAGAAATGGGACTTATTTTAAAAATATTTAATTTCTAAATCATCACAAATTTTGACCATTTTCTGTTAAAGTCATAGTTAATAACTCTTAACATTCATTAGGACAATAGGTGTATAACTGTTTTATTTTACTTCTTGTCTTGAAATTTTGCTATTTAGTTCAGCTACTTTAGAAGCAGAATGTTCCACTGCATGCTGACAAAGAATTTTCTCTACTTCTCTCTGATGGGATGCTCTTAGAGCTGCAATGTATTCTGCTGTATCTTCCTTTGTCCTGTAAAAGAAAGCTATAAATATAGCTGTTCCCCAAAATTGTAGCAACGAAATTATATATGCTTATACATTTAAAATAATTAAATTATAGGCCCCATAACTTCAAAATTGCACACGCTTCATTTCTTAGAAGTTACAAAGATTGCAAACACCATGTGTGTGACTGTAACTGTAACTGTATATGAAATTATGCATGTGTCTAATTTTGAAGATTTGGGCTATAAATATTAGTATTACACTATTAGATGAAAGACAAAGGCATCCATGCTGCAACAATTTATATTAAATAAGCTTGTTCTTACTCAAAGCCATAACAAATTCTAGATTTATTAAAAAGCACTCATCTGGACCTGCCTGAGGGCTTAATAGCAGTGCTATACTACACAGAAGTCCTCTTCTCATCATATTGTTCCTAAATGAGGGTAAGGACTCCCGTGAGGGAAGCACACTTTGCCTCACATTCTCGTCCATTCAAAAACATCAATTTTATCCAGTCATCTATGACCAGAAAGATGCCAATTAGCGCTAATTTAGGTGGCAATTTTTGTGACACGTATACACTTGACTATGAATATGTGTAGAGAAACCACCAACTAAGTTAGACGGTAGCATGAGAAGGTAGCAGCTTTTAGGTCATTACTAATGTGAGCTGGATTCATACATGTGATCTATTTGTCAAAAGGCACTGTATCATTACTGATCTCCCACCAAGACTCCAATGTTTTAATAAATGCATGAGATGACTGTTTTACCTTCGTATGTTACTTTCAGAATAAGCCAGTGTTGCCTGAGACTTCACTCTCTGCTGGCTCATTTCTAGAGACAGTCTTTCTAGCTCATCTTTTAACCTTGCATTTTCTTGCAGAACTTCTGAAATATGGGAATCGGCAAAGTTATGTGGCTGGTATATTTTATCATCAAGAGTGTCTGGGAAGGGTTCATTGGTACTGGCATTCCTTTTACTTGTTGCTAAAATATCCTTTTTCAAAATTTCTGTAGACTTTTCCTTATTGTCAGTTTTGTCACTTGAGTTATGGTTTGACAACATCGTCCTTCTCTCTTTTTGAAGTCTCTCCACAGTTTTTGTTAGGTCCTGTATCTCTCTGCTTTTGGTGATTAATTCTTGATTTAGTCTTACCAACCTGGCTTTAGCATGAGCTTGTTCCACTTGGTATTCTATTGATTGTAAGTCTTCATCATCTCTTTCACATTTTTTGAGTTCTAACTGGGAGTTTTGATTTTTAAGATTTTCAATTTCTGTTTGAAGATTTTTTACTGTGATCTGATGGTTCTCCTTTACACTACGAAGTTCTTGCTCAATTGCTGTAAAACTGGCTTTGCTGTCATGCGGTTTTTGTGGTTCATTCATCAATTTATAGGCAAGGAGTTCTTCAAGCTCTACAAGTCTTTGCTCATACTGAAGCTGGGAAAAAACAGCAATTTACAGAGTTGCATATCTATTACTCCCTCTTTTTTGTATAAATTAAGGGATTAAGCACCTTAAGTAAATGTTTAACATATTATATATAACAAAACCAGGAATATTTACAACACTATAAATTAGGTAGTTCAGAAAGCAGCCTCATGAATGTAATAACTCATTAAGACTACCTGCAACAAAAAAGCACAGTATATCAGCAAACTAAGGAACTATTTTTAGTAAGGATAGATGGGCACCTTATAACAGTTAGAAAGAGAATAAATAATTAAAGCCAATTATTAGGAAAATGAGTGTTTCCCATTGTATTATTGTGCTGGATTATTCTATTCAACTATCAGTCTGAACAGACAAATTAACATTCCATTCTCAGTTTAACATTAAGAACACGTTGGCTCACTAAGAAATTCAGAGCATTTCATATTTTTGTTAAACATAGCATTTTAACTGTTGCTAGTTTCCACTTTGCAAATATTTAATAGTTTGTGATGGGACTGCCCACTGCCATATCCTTAGGGACCCATATCATGGACAAGAATGTACAAACAGAACAAAAAGATGATTCTTTCCATCCGGGTGTGTATGGGGCAATCAAGATCATTAAACCCTTGTCTCTCTTGAGCTCTGTCAGGACATTCTGTTTCAGAGGTACTAGTAGATAGATACACAAGAAAGCTCTCTCTCAATTGGATGGAGAAGGCAAACCTTAGAAACGTATTTTCTTCTCCTGGTGTCACAAGCAGAAGGCTGGTAATTTCTCATTCAGGTGAGTGCTAAGGTTTACTCAAAAGGGGTCTATCTCCAGCTGATTCAGTCTTTCCATGTTCTCCTTCCCTGCTAGGTAAGCAGCGACCAAAACAGGTCCTGTGGAACAAAGCCCACTGCCATACCAGCAGGACTTCCCAACACAGGATTTCAGAAATGGTGCCAAGATCCTGGCAGAAGTATAAGTTTTCCTGGGCAATGGCAACCTAACACCTACTTTTCATGCTGCAAATCAGGGCCCAGGACAGTTTCTGCAAGAATCCCCAGTCCACGAACCCCCAACTTAACAATTCTCTGTCCTGGACATCCATGAAGAAAAAGGTGGGGGCACGGATTCTGACTCAACATGCAGAAGAGACTGCAATTTGTAAGTGGACTATGCCACTGCTGCCTGCACACTTATTTCACTTGTGTGTGCAGCTCAGTATGTGTGTACCTCCGCTCTGTATCCTGTAGGACCAAGTCCCCTTCCTCTATTTATGAAAAGTTTTTTAAGACAACCCAAGCAATCTCTCTTGCAAGTTTAATTCCTCCTCTGTCAGTTTCAAAATGCTTTTACATGACTATATTTTAAATGCACAAAGCTTTGGAATTTCTGGCCCCAAAATATTCCCCAAATGTTATCTTTTCCTTCGTTTTGCAATGCTAATACTTAGAGACAGATACCCTTACATTCAGTAGAACCATTCTTCACTATCTGTGGAATACACTGCCACTCAATGTAAGGGCCTGATGCTGATAGCCTTAAGTTAGTTACCTTTATTTTTTGAAACTGTTGTTCCATAGCACGTAGACTTTTTTTAGCTTCATCATCTTTCCCCTCAAGTTCTGTTTCTAACTTTTTTATTCTTCTTTCCAGGAAATCAATTGTATTGGATTTAGCCGAAATGTCACCACCTCCCTCAGATGCTGCAGCAGCAGCATATATCAAAGCAGGTAAAGAATTTGGATGCCTTCTTTTTAAAATTGCTTCCATTTCTTTAATCTGTCAAAAAAATATAACTCGTTAAATAGAGATTTGATAAATAAATATTGTGGTTTTCACTGTCAATAAGAACATAAGAATGGCCATAGTAGAACAGACCCATGGTCCATTTTTCCCGAGTATCTTCCAACAATGGCCAGTGCCAAATGCTTCAGAGGGAATGAACAGAAAGGTACAATTATTGAGTGATCCATCCCCTGTCATCCAGTCCCAGTTTAGGTGCACTCAGAGCATGGAGTTGCATCCCTGACCATGTTGGCTAATAGCTATTGATGGCCCTATCCTCCATGAACTTATCCAATTCTTTTTTGAACCCAGTAATACATTTGGCCTTCACAACATCCCTTGGTAATGAATCACACAGGGTGACTTTGCATTGTGTGAAGTAGTACTTCCTTATATTTGTTTTCAACCTGATGCCTATTAATTTCATTGGGTGTCCACCTGGTTCTTGTATTATTTGAGGAGGTAAACAACACTTCCTTATTCACTTTCTCCACATCACTCATGATTTTATAAACCTCAATCATATCCCCCTTTTGTCATCTCTTTTCTAAACTGAACAGTACCAGTCTTTTAAATCTCTCTTTGTATGGAGGCTGTTCCATACCATTTTTGTTGCCCTTCTCTGTACTTTTTCCAGTTCTAACGTATCTTTTTTGATGGGGTGACCAGAACTGCAAGCAGTATTCAACTAGTGGGCATACCATGGATTTCTATATTATATATTTTCTATCTTTTTATTTATCCCTTGTCTAATGGTTTCCAAGAGGAGGTTTCTTACATGTGACTGGCGTTCTTTGAGATGTGTGCTCCCTATCTGAATTCCACTGAGGGTTATACACGTGCCATGTGTCTGGAGCTGGACATTTTGAAAGTAGTAGTGTCTATTGGTCCACGCATGCGCCCTTGCATCATGTGAGGCAAGTAAGGGCAGGGTGTGGTGTGATTCACCACCACAAATCAAACTGATCCGCAGTAAAGGGGAAGGAGGGTGGGACTGCAATACAGATAGGGACCACATATCTTGAAGAAACTTCAATTACAGGTATGTAGCCTCCTCCTGTTCTTCGAGTGATGACACCTATTGTATTCCACTGAGGGTGATTAACAAGCAGTACCTAGTTAGGAGAAGGGAGAGGAAGATGATGGAACTGTGTGATATTGGATTTGACTTCCAACTTTTAAAGGATGTCTTTTTGTATCATACTGCCTCTTTTACTCTGTTTAGCCATGGTGGCATTTTTTGGTCATCTTACTGTTTTTTTAAATTTGATATATACATTTAGTTTGAGCCTCTGTTATGGAGTTTTTAAAAAGTTTCCATGCTGCTTGCAGGCATTTCAATCTTGTGACTGTGCCTTTTAATTTCCATTTAACTAGCTTTCTCATTTTTGTGGAAATTTTTTTTTGAAGTTAAAATGCTACTGTGGTGGGTTTCTTTGGTTTTCTCCACCTTACAATGATGTTAAATTTAATTACATTATGGTTGCTATTACAGTGCTGTTCAGCTAGATTCACCTCTTGGACCAGATCCAGTGTGCCATTTCAGATTAAAACAAGGATTGCCTCTCCCTTTGGGGATTCCAGGACTAGTGGCTCCAAGAAACATTCATTAATGAATGAATGCGAAACCCATGGGTGTGAACTTCTATGTCTATTGTAATAAGACTCTGCCCTCAAGTCCTCCTTGGGTGTTTACTAACATGAATATTTAGACCCCTAGAGACAGTGAAACTTCCCTACCTCCCTCAGAGTCTGACAAAAATGTATCGTCCTTCTGGAGAGAAGGAACTGTGCCATCTGGTGTGCCTGGACTGCCCTCAAACTGTGCTCTGGATGAAGTGTTGATATACTTGGTTCTGGTATAGGAGCAGTGGTTGGTACTTGGGATTAAGCTCCTTCACGAAGCCTAATAGAGGCGTGTCCGATACCAAAGAGACCAGTAGGTCTTTTGACATCACACAGGACTTTGGTACAGAATACACTGGTACTGAAGACAGATGAGTAGATAACATTGGTACCAGGGTAAACAACGGTACTGGGGTCCTTGTTGCTGAGAGGTTGGGACAGCATACCCATTTTGGGCCTTGGGCTACTCTGTCTGAGGCTTGGGAAGATTTATGGCTTGACCTAGAACTCATCGCCCTCTGTCCCGAGATTTTACCAGGCAAGGACGATGGATCTTTAGGAGTAGGAACTTCAGGTCCACATGTGGAGCACTTTTAGATGATGAGTGCTCAGAGGTTTATGCCACAAGCATCCCAAGATCTGAAGAGGGATGCATTATACTCTTCAAAAGGAAGATTTTCCAACAAAACTCCTTCGCTTTCTGGGTTCTCCTAGAACAGAGGTGGGCAAACTACGGTCCGCGGGCCCGTCCTGTCTAGTCCCTGAGCTCCCGGACGGGGAGGCTAATCCCCAGCCCCTACCCCGCTGTCCTCCCTCCCCCGCAGCCACGCCCTGCGTGGGCAGCGCAGCTTTCCAATAAGCCTGTCCTGCTGCTCTGAATGGTGTGGTAAGGGGGCAGGGAGGATAGGGTAAGGGGCAGGAGGTCCCGGGGGGGGCAGTCAGGGGACGGTTGGATGGGGCGGAGGCAGTCAGGAGACAGGGAGGGTTCGATAAGCGGTGGTGTCCCGGAGGGTCGAGGGGTCCCAGCGGGGTGAGGGAGACAGGGAGGGGGGTTGGATGGGAGTCGGGCGCAGTTAGGGATGGGGGTCCATGGAGGGGACGGTCAGGGGACAAAGAGTGGGGGGGAATGGATGGATCAGGGGTCCCAGGTGGCATGTCAGGGGGCGGGGGTGTGGATAGGAGGTGGGACAGTGAGCAGGTGGGCAGTTAGGGGCAAAGGGTCCAGAGAGGGGGCAGTCAGGGGACAAGGAGCAGGGGTGGTTGGATGGGTTGGGGGTTCTGATGGGGCAGTCAGGAGGCGGGAAGTGGAGGCACAGCCTTCCCTACCCAGCCCTCCATACAGTTTCGCAACCCCGATGTGGCCCTCAGGCCAAAAAGTTTGCCCACCCCGTCCTAGAACGGATTTACAGAAGGCACATCCCTCTCTTTCTAATGTGCCCCTCACCCAAACACAAGTATTTGGTATGAAAGCAACTGAATCAATGAGAAAGTTTGGCCTTACAAAAAGAGCAATTATTAAAGCCTGGAGATGTACATTCAGTCACAGGGCATTGTCATCACTAAAAAGTTTACTTGGGTCATCAGCACCTCGGTCTGAGCAACCAAGTTAGCCCAGCCTAGCTGTGAACAGTGACCCTAAAGCCATATCTGAATTACTGTGTCCTCACTGGTGCTTCACTCACTCAGGTAAGTTGCTCTGACTTCTGGAGGCATATTCCATAGTTCTTTGTACTTCAGTAAACTGAGCTACTCTCAGATTCTCTCTCAGTGAATTGTGGGAGAACTTGTCTATCCTCTGGGCACAAAGGGGGGATTCTGAGAAGGCACTAGAGGAGTATCAGCACTTGAGTGATCTAGCTGGTGTCCTCACTACAAAGTGGGCAGGTTCTCAGACCAAGTGAAAGCAGCACCCAAGCTCTAGGTCAGTGGTTCTCAACCAGGGGTACACGTACCCCTGGGGGCACACAAAGGTCTTCCAGTGGGTACATCAACTCATCTCGACATTTGCCTAGTTTAGAACAGGCTACATAAAAAGAACTAGTGAAGTCGGAAGCACCTGGCATTGGCCACTGCCGGAAGACAGGATACTGGACTAGATGGACCATTGGTCTCAAGTCAGTACAAACTAAAATTTCATACAGTCAATGACTAGTTTATATTGCTCTATATACTATACACTGAAATGCAAGTACAATATTTTTATATTCCAATTGATTTCTTTTATAATCATATGGTAAAAATGAGAATAATCAATTTTTTCAGTAATACTGTGTTATGACACTTTTGTATTTTTATGTCTGATTTTGTAAGCAATTAGTTTTTACGTTAAGTGAAACTTGGGGTATGCAAGATAAATCAGACTTCTGAAAGAAATACAGTAGTCTGAAAAGGTTGAGAGCCACTTCTAGCCTATTCCCCTATCTAGGCCAGACCGATTGGGTTTAAAGCACCACCAAATGAGGTATATGTATTTTGTGTGTGGACAGAAAGGAATAACACCGAAGTAAGAACCTAAAGGCATGTCTGCATTAGCGAGCTTATAGCTGTACCAATGCAGCTGTGCCACCGTGAGATCACTTGTGTAGCCGGCGGGAGAGAGCTCTCCTGTTGACATAATAAAACCACCTCCAAGAGCAGTGGTAGCTGTGTTAGTGGGAGAGCTTCTCCCACTGACATAGCGCTGTCCTCACCAGCGCTTCTGTCAGTGTAACTTATGTCAGTGTGTGTGTGTGTGGGGGGGGGGGGGGGGGGGGGGTTATTTTTTCACGCCCCTGAGCAAAATAAGTTTTACCAACAGAAGTGGTAGTGTAGACATGGCCTAAGTTAACTCTGCAGTGAAGAGATAGTCTTGGTACCAGGATAAGCCACTAACCCTGAGGCAAAAACAAACAACCAAGTTTCCTTCTAAAGGGAAGAAAGGAAACACTAAACCATTAATGTTAGGTATTTAGTAGTTTACAAAATCTCTAACTATCTATAACTAACTATTTACATAAGAAAAGGTCACATGAACACTGCAAATTCCAAATTGTAGCCAGAGAAGGAACTGCCAAAGTTGGGCTCAGCCCTACCCTTTATGCCTTTGGTTAGCATGAGGACCCACAGGGTACAAAGAGTGGCCACCAGCAGGCACTACACGGTACTGGTTGCATGTACACCATCAGTGGAATGTATACAGAGAAGCATTTGAAGGAAAACATTTCACAGAGTTATTTATGTGAAGGCATTACCACCAGTGTACTTTCAACCCTTAACATTTATATCTAGAGAAAAATGCTGTAGGATAAATTTTCATTAAAAAAATATAATTACACTTCTGTGATCAACAGTCAGACACTGACCATCTCAAAAAGCAGTTTCCTGGATTTTGAATTAAAAATCTCTTATTTCTTACTTTATTACCATTCATTTAAAAAAGATGAAGGTGGCAATTTGCTGGGGGATGATTTGTAAAGAGGACACAATGTTTAAAAAGATACAGAGGCACATGCGCAAGCAGGCACGCACCACAACCCCAATGCAAGAACAGGGATTTATTTTCGATTTTGAAATAGTCAGACAGGACTCATTAGCTGCATTGTGGGTTTAGTAGTTTGATTTAAACAATCTTTTTCTAAGATGTCCTTTGATTTAAATGGGTTATTCTTATACTCAGATTATTTTAGATAGAGAAGGACACTACTTCAATGCACCCTCCATTTGCTTTTTGATACTTTGAAATTTCAGGGCGATATAAAACAAAATATTCACGGCTTTCTGGGCTCTTTTTCCTTTTCCCTCCCATCCTATTCACCAACTAATTTGATTCTACCATGATCTCAGTGTTAGTCATATGATATCCAAATCACTCTCCAAGCAACAGACTAATGCCATTATTACTTCACTGTAGGCCCCAGAACATTCATCCTGGATGTGAGGGGAAGAAAATATTCAAACAAAGTCTTTAGACATGGAAATAAGAATTCAAAAGTGTACTGATAAAGTAAGTTGCCGCTTGAAATACTATCACTTTTAGGGTTTGTCCCAGCATGAGAACAATTTCTCATAAATGAATTAATATTTGTAATGTCAAGATAAGACAGTTCCATGAGGACAAAAAATGTTTACTTTATCATGGGACTTTTCCAATACAGCAAAGTGTAATCTTGATATTTCTGCCAAGATCTCTCAACAGCAGTCAGCATTACTGTATTTTTCACAAGCTATGAAACACTGAGAAAAGTAACGTTATTACATACTTGTCGCTCAAGATCTTGAATTTTTTTTGCATCTGCTGCTCTGTCCTTTAAACGTTTCTTCTGTTGCCCAGACTGATTCCCAGCTTCAGTTCTGAGATTATCAACCTATCCAACATATTCAATGGTACATTACAAAAAGTATATGCAACAGGTTCACTTCATTAGCACAGTTGAAAATATTTTAAAATTATTAAAAATTATTTAAAATATTTTAATTATTTCAAATTAACTATAATGAAAGAGCTCCATATTTGAACAGGACTAGTGCAGAAGTCTATCCTAGTTTTCAGTATAGTTTGTCTGATAGAAGTCTATGAACTATATTCTCATGCTGGGCTATGGTCTCTTTGTGCCAGATGGGGTAACGGAACTGTAACCAAGCTGCAGAGATCTAGCAGAGAATTCCCTTATGAAGGGAACTCCCTGGGAGCAAATTTTTGCCAGGTCTGTGCCCTGAGCCTCTTCCCCCCCACTCTCTTGACATGCAGAGGAGGGGGTGGTATGGGGAGGTGGTATGGTAGAGCTAAGCTATGATGTCTTCCACTGACGTATGATCAGTTAAGGGCACAATTTAAGCATTCACAGCTTTGCATTCAGTGATGCAATTTAGAGATGCCCAGCAGCAGCTCTAAATTATATCTAAGATGGGCTGGCTCTGAGGTTCAGGGAGTCCGAACCAGACGCGCCCCTTTCTCCCCATCACCAAGAAAAGCTCTGTCACAGGAGAAAATTTGGCCATCAAGGTTCAAGTCTAATATCTGGAGATTCCAGTGAATATTAATATTCCAAGGCATTGCTAGAGAAATATTGGACCGTTAAATGAACGCACATTCCCATTATCTACTGCATCAATGGTGGATGTTATTCTAAAAACGTGGGTAATAATAATGCTTCGGTGTAAAGTTTAACCTTTGATGCACAAAACTGTTCATCCAAATGAGAGCAATCTTACCGTGTTTCCCAAATGTTTGAAAATGAGCCTACTTTGAGGAAAATGAAACCAATGACAGCTCCTCCCCACCTACCATGTGTTGTTAAAGGCCTACATATATCTTACTTTGCAACCTCCTCCCCCACTTTAGGATGTTTATAATACAATACTTCCTCTGTTTTCTACATGCATTCATGAGCAGGGAAATAGTATCACTGGCATCTGACTTAGCGTCCATTGATATAAATGGGGCAGTTCACACTCACAGATATTGCTTCAGGCTCTCTGCATTGGTTTTACTTGTTTCATGTTTTGAAAGGTTTTCTTTTCAACCATTACAGGTAGAGACTTTTCCCTCAAGAAAATAAAGCTTCCTCTGACTCTGGAGAATGACTGAGAAGCCTGTCCATGTCCCCTATAGCTATTTCCTTCAGCCTCTGAGGCATGCATGCCACGCACTTCGGGTAACACTGCTTTAACCACTACAGTATGGTATGTTTTTCAAATGTTAGTATAATAACGTAACTCCTATCTGGTAGTCTTAGTCAATGATTTGCATGGCCTAAAGAACTATTAATTTAGAATTATTTCCAGAAATGCCACTGAAGTGTCAAATGCAAATAAAAACAGTTTTAAGCTCTCATACATCTAAATCCTCCATTTTACACATAATAAATGTACATTCTCCATATCAGGCCCTCAGTATTTAAATAAAAGATTTTGACGTATTCCAATACTGCACTTAGAATAAGATAGATAACATATACTGAAAAAACAAGTTGTATTCTATGGACACTATTTCTATAAATACTAATTCACAAAAATAAACCTTGAACTGTTGTGATCACCTGTAGTTTCAATTTCTCAATTTCTTGTTTTGCATCTTTAAGACGACTTGCATCTCTGTCCAAAAGCTCCTGATTTTCTGCATACCATTGAAGTCTCTTTTTCAAAAGACTGATTTCCTGTTTGTATGATTCTTCTATAATCTTTATCTCATAAGATTTTTCACCTAGAAGGCAAAAATACTTGATTTAATATACCCCTCTTAGAAATCTGCAACAAAGCTTTCTCAGATATATTTCAGGCACTTTGCCACTACTTTTTCTTTACTAAAATTTAAAGGTGCGACTCAAATTAAGTTTTCAAATATAAGAGCATTTCAAAAGCCTTTATATCACATTTATTTAAGCCCTTCTGTATTACAAATAATTAAGTGTTATATACATTTATTTAGTGAAACACAGGTAAAGAGCAATTATCCAATTATTAACTGGAATGAGAGCCTCCACAAATGAGTACTTTACCTGAAGTAGAATCAATTTGGGCTCTTGCCAAATCTCTCTCTCTCCTCATTTGTCCCAAATCTACTTCAAGAGCTTGTTTGTCTTGCTTAAGCCGTTTTATCTCTTCCAGCAATTTGGCTTCTTCCTTCTTAATATTCACAGAAAACATGTAAAGAAAAATAAACCAACAGAACATACGTTTTCTACAAAAAAAAAAGTAACTGGTGTTTTTCCATCATAAGATGAATCACAGCTGCTGCACTGGTCCCTTAGCAGCCGATGTGATTGTCTATGTTGGATAGTATCCTTTCTACAATACAGTGCAGGAAGACTATATGAGGTTAGTCACGCAATAGAGGCTGAATCTGAGGTCTCTTATAACATAACAGGCTCTTATTAGATCAGTCTTAGAAGCCAAACAATCCAGATTCAGTCTGTAAGTAGACCACAGTTAAAAAACAACAACTTTTTTTAGTCTCGGCACAATGGCAAAAAATATGAGTTTACATATATCAAGAACATAAATCCATTCCCAAACTTCAGTCTACTTCATTTGCATCAGCGAGCACTAACCTTTAGCCTTACTCCGGCTATGCCTTCTTGGAGACCCTTCAAACCAACAATTTGCTTCTAGGTCTCCTGCTTTCCCAAGTCCAAAGGGAAACGAATGAGAAGGATGGTTTCTCAGAAATCCACATGCCTCCTTGTGAGATCTATGAACACTTGCTGGCTGGATATGGTTCTTTCTACAACCTACTGGTTTTCTTCCAAGATGCCAGGTCTTTCCCTTTGAGTGCGATGTGACCTCACACTCTGACCACCCAACAGAGAGACTTGTTCCCTCTCCTTTGCTTTGAGAAAGTGACAATCTTCCTGCCTCAGCTTCTCCATATTTAAAATGGGAGATCTGCCCTCATTCCAGTATACTGACAATTATACGAATAGCATGGGAGACATGGATTTTATTCAGATAATGGGGAGTTTAGATAATCGAGAGAGCAGGGAGCCTTGCTCACTCCCTCCCATGACAGCAGGGCTGCAGAGGGCTCCCTGTGCTGCTCCTTCTTGATTATTGCAGGCACAAGATGCCCTGGGGCAGGGGAGAAGAGGGGCATAGTAGTCATGGGAGAGCACAGCAGGGAACCCCAGCTGGAACTAGGCTCTGCCCTGTCAGGACCACCACTGTCCTTTGGCTGTACAGGGAGCCCTCTGCAGCTCTGCTGTCATGGCCCCACTCCCATGACAGCAGGACTACAGAGGGCTCCCTGCGCTGCTGCAGGAGTTATTTAGTAGAAGGATGGCCTCCCTTCTGGCCAGGTCTCTGCTCTATTGGTGGACAAGGAAGGGATAAAGCAAAGGTTCAAATAATAGGGTTTTGGAAAATCCAGAGGGTATCCTGTATCTGTAAATTTATCTTCTCAGGAATGACATCTTTGGCTGTCTATCACAAGAGCAAAACCTTCCCTTGCAGAATACAGAAACAGTTCAAAACTCTGAACTGGCAAAGGCACCCACCCTCCAGCTATCATCTAGAACCTAACTGAAAAACACTCCTTAAACACTACACTAAACTTGCCTGAGACTAGCATGTATATTTTATCGGTGTCTCAACAAAATGTGCACCTGTAAATGTCTGCATACCACCTTGCTGGCTGCCATCATTCTCATAGAACATTTCAGGATAACCACTGAAGCACCCACAGAGATGATAATGACGAAAGGCATCTTTGGAGGCTAGTTTTGTGCATTCAATTGATTATTCATTCATGCTATTTTCAAGTATTAAAGCAAGACAGGTTTTTAATAAAGACTATAAAATGGTACATTATTTTAGCATAAGGAAATATGCTACAAAATTTCCAATTTTACTTTACACAATAAGTCTATGGTATCAATGGATATATTTATTTTACATGGAGAGATTAATATTTAAACAGGTATACAATTCCGGAACACAAAATCCACTTACCTGTGCTACTCGAAGTTCTGAAATCAGTTCTGTGAAACTCTGGTTTCTTGTTGGTTTAGAATCCTGCTCTAACTGTGACAGGAAGTTATTTTTATCCATCTGTTCTCTAATGGAACAATGACAAAAGAGAACATTATGCAGTTTGGTGATCTTACGTAGCTTTCTGCTTCATTAACACATTCAGTGGTTTCCCTATGAAAGGATCATGTCTACAAATTCTGGCAAATATTTCTTTTAAATCATTAAAAAAATAATAAGCACTGAAATACATAAGTAAAACAAAGCCCAAAATTACTCCTGGGATATCAGACACCAGTCCATCCATCTTCATAAATGCTAACTTGATGATTGTGATGCTGTGTATAAGAAAGATGACTGTTTGTATCATTGTTGTCAGATGTCAATGGAAAAGTTAAGATTTGCTAAGTATGATTATCTTGTTTACATGAATGTATCATTATTGTATCTGAAGTTATGAAGACTGGCTATGTACTTAGGTCTTACACAGGTGTTGTATTCCTGGGTGACACCCCCAGACAGAATTTACATTAGGGCTAGACAGCTGTGCGTGATGGCCTCGCAAGGACACTCCGCTCTTACAATGGACTACTGAAGAAACTCATCCTGTCCAGATGGCTCTTCTGGAGGATGCCTCAGATGACAAGGAGTCAATGGCCGCCACCCCCCTCCCCCGGCGTTTAAGTACCAAAGGTTAAGGGCATGTGATATGCTCATATGATCCTGGGCTGCATTTTGGACCAGTAACTTTCAACATACAGGTGCTGTGGGCTTTGTTTGGGACTTCCATGCACATTGCAATACAAATAAAAGACCTCTGATATATCCCTGTGTTGCCTCTTTCCTGCTTTAATTCTCTGGACTGTGGATTTACAACTAAAAGGAGCATTTTGAACTATGGACTGAGGACCTTCCAATCTTTTGGGAGTTACCAGAGAGACTTTACATGCCAGCAGTCTATTCCAGCACTGCTGAAACCTGATATAAGGACTTGGCAATCATTTGTATGTATATGATTTATTAACTATTTATAACTCCTTTTCTTTTATTAGTAAACTAACTAAAGGCTTATTAAGGATTGGCGACAGCATGATATTTGGGTAAGATCTGAGATTCATACTGACCTGGGATATGTCTCTCATCCATTGGGATTAGGAAGAACTTCACATATGGTTAATTGGGGTTTCAATAACCTCTCACTATATTAGATTGGATTGACTGGATGGGAGCCAACGGCTGGAATGCCTAAAGGGGACTATGTTTGGCTTCTGGATACTTAGGTGTGGTACTGCAGAAGTTCTTTTGTTACTGGCTTGGTGAATCTAACTATAGAGTAAACCACTAGTTTTGGCAGGACGGTCTGGCCTATTTCTTGCAGTCTGCCCTGACTGTGGCATTCTCAGTGTGGCCCATCCCAGGCACCAGTCACAATGATAATTAGATAAAACAAAAGAAGACAAGTCATTATTTGATCAAAATCAGTAAAGGTGATATCTACCCCCTTTCCTGCATAAGCCACTATGTCTACACTGCAATTAAAAAAAACAAAACAAAAAAAACACAACACCACTGCAGTGGTGAGTCTCAGAGCCCGGGTTTATGGACCTGGGCTCATACTAAATAAAGCCATATAGATGTTCCCACCTGGGTTGGAGCTCAGGTTCTGAAATCCACCCCTCCTCCCAAGTTTCAGAGCCTGAGCTCCAACTGAAGCATGAATGCCTACACAGTTATTGGTAGCGCTGCAGCATGAACTGTAGACCTGGACTCGTAGACTCGCTGACGTGGATTTTTTTGGTAGCATAAATAGACCCATAAACTCCAAATAAGCAACCTTTGCTTAGGAAAACCACATGCAAGTCTGGGGATAGAATCTACTCCCCATGAATTAAGCTCAGCTGTGAGCTCCTATACAAAGATTTGTAAATACTGGATTTGCATGGTTGCTGACCCTCCATGCTGTTACAGACACAGATCCCAGTTTTACAAAGGGGGAGATTCCCCCTATGTAACCACTGCTCAGTCACTCACAACCTCAGCATGGTGATTCCTCTGTACTGGGGTCTTCTGTGACCTGAGCTGCTTGATGAATTTCATCTTATGAGAATACTTATGTATAATAATAACCAAACATTTTAACATGGCAGATAAAATTATACTACCAAAAGGCATGCTCTCGCCCCGGCCTTCATTTAATTCTGTGGCCCATTCTTTGTATGAACAAACATTCAATCTTGAGATTTAGAATACAACCATCTAAGCTACAAGCCCTATTTACTCCAATAGGTCTCTAACAGAAAAGGGAAGGCTAAGAACTAAATGTGGACACTTCTTCCACCCCCTCCCAATTTCAATGGAATAGGAGCTCACCAGTCACCTATCACCATCTATGACAAAACAAACCAAACAACAAGGTATCTGACAGGCTTGCTAGTTCTGCTCTTATGGTTCTGCTTACTGAAGGCTTGTCTGCATGGTGAGTTAGTCTGTGATAAGCTAGTGCAGACTAACTGGCCCGTGTGGACCCTGGTGTGCACTAGAAGTTCCCTCGTGCATGTTAATGTTGTC